TCTACCAAATAACTAACTTGTAATCTTCATAACTATCAAAGTTATGAAAGTTTAAGAAAAAGCAAGGAGCTATTCCAGGAAAACAACAAATTATATGCACACACATGTGCACACACACACACACACAGAGGCATGATTACAAAAGGCATCTATAACACTGGAGCATTTTGCTACGGAAAACATTATTAACTTAATTGGTGAGAGTTGAATGTGGTGCAAGAGTTAGATGCTAGTAATATTTCAATGTTTATTTCTCATTTTCATTAGTTGTAGTGAGGTTTTATAGGAGATATCTTTGCTTATACAGCTGTTGGAGAATCAAGTCAGCATTTTGCTCTGAGTTTAAGAAAAAACATTCTTTGTTCTGTACTTTTTTTCTGTAACTTTAAGAGTGTTTCCAAATTTTAATTGTTAAAATTAAGCCATGAAGGAACAGATATGCTCTATGTTTATATTTATATGCTCTATAAATATTACTGCTCTTTAATTATCAGTACAGACGCCCCCAATTCTATTCTATTCTCATGACCTTCTCCCATTTCCTTACCAGGCAAATACATCTTATAGAATGTAAAAGAAATATATATATATATATATATATAATGATTCTACTTTATTTAAGAAATGAAAGTAAATTTTACTCAATTAATAAGGCTTTATTAAACATTAGTAAATTCAATTACATTCTCAGAATTAGGCAAGAAAGAAAAGGAAAAGGAAAAAAATTATAGAGTATCTATATGTGTCAGGAAATGAAAGAGAAAGAATGGTTACTGTCCTAAAGATTATATTGGTCTTCTTCAATTTCTTTATTTAGTGTTCTGTCGTTTTTCTTATGGAGGTCTTTCACCTCTTTTGTTAAATTGATTCCCAAGTTTTTTTTTTTAAGCTATTATGAATGGGGTGATTTTCCTAATTTCTTTTTCAAAGGATTCATCAGTGAGGTATAGAAGTGCATTTGACTTATGGATATTGATTTTATATCTTGTTACTTTGCTGAATTCATTTATTAATCTAGAAGTTTTCTGGTGGAATTTTTTGTATCCTCTAAGTACAGAATCATGTCATGGGCAAATAGTGATAGTTTGAGTTCTTCTTTTCCTATTTGAATCCCTTTAATTTCTTTTGTCTAATTGCTCTGACTAGAGTTTCAAGGACTATGTTAAATAGAAGTGGTGAAAGAGGGCCTCCCTGTCTTGTTCCAGTTTTTAGAGAAAATGCTTCCAATTTTTCTACATTTAGAATAATATTGGCCTTTGGTTTACAAACAGATAGCTTTTTACAATGTTGAAGTATGCTTCTACTATCCCTAGTTTTTCTAGTGTTTTGAACATGAAAGGGTGCTATATTTCGCTGTTGGTATCTCTGTATCTATTGAAATAATCATATGATTCTTATCTTTGAGTCAACTGATGTGGTGAATTACATTTATTAATTTCCATATGTTGAACCAATCTTGCATCCCTGGGATAAACCCCAGTTGATTATGGTACACTATCTTTTAAATATGTTTTGGTATGTTATTTGCCAGAATTTTACTGAGAATTTTTGTGTCTATGTTCATCAGGGATATTGGTCTGAAGTTTTCTTTCCTTGATGAGTTTTTGTCTGGCTTTGGCATTAGGGTGATATGAGTTTTGTAGAATGAGTTTGGGAGGGTTCCCTCCTTTTATATTTCATGGAATAATTTGAGAACACTAAAGAAAGAAATTGAAGAAGACCTTAAAAATGGAAAGATCTCCCATGCTCTTGGATAGGCAGAATCAATGTTGTCAAATATCCATACTACCAAAAGTGCTATACACATTCAATGCAATATCAATTAAAATTCCAATGTCATACCTCATATAAATAGAAAAAGCAATCATGAAATTCACTTGGAAAAATAAAAGGTCCAGGCCCCGCGAGGTGCACGCCTGTAATCCCAGCGGCTCAGGAGGTGGAAGTAGGAAGATTGTGAGTTCAAAGCCAGCCTCAGCAATTTAGCAAGGCGCTAAGCAACTCAGTGAGACCCTATCTCTAATAAAATACAAAATAAGTCTAGGAATGTGGCTCAGTGGTCAAGAGCCTGTGTGTTTAATCCTGGTACCCCCAAAACAAAAATTAAAATAAATAAATAAATTAAAAAGCTCAGAAGAGCCAAAGCAATCCTTAGCAAGAAGAGTGAAGCAGGAGGCATCACAATACCAGCCCTTATATTGTACTACAGAGCTACAGTAAAGAAAGTAGCAAGGTATTGACACAAAACCACAAATGAAGACCAATGGTACAGAGTAGAAGATGCAGAGACAAACCCATATAAATACAGTTATCTCATACTAGACAAAGGCTCACAAAACGCACATTGGAGAAAAGATAGCCTCCTCAATAAATGGTGCTGGGAAAACTGGAAATCTATATGCAGCAAAAATGAAATTAAACCCCTATCTCTCACCATGCACAAAACTCAACTCAAAGTAGATTAAGGACCTAGGAATTTGACCAGAGACCCTGCGCCTAATAGAAGAAAAAGTAGACCCAAATCTAAATCATGTCGGATTAGGCCTTGACTTCCTTAACAAGAGTCCTAAAGTGCAAGAAATAAAATCAAGAATCAATAAATGGGATGGATTCAAACTAAAAAGCTTCTTCTCAGCAAAGGAAACAGTGAGGTGAATAGAGAGCCTACAGAATGGGAGCCAATTTTTAACACATGCATATCAGATAGAGCACTAATCTCTAAGATATACAAAGAACACAAAAAACTTAATCCCAGAAAAATAAACAACCCAAACAATAAATGGGCTAAGGAACTGAACAGACATTTCTCAGAAGAAGAAATACAATCAATCAACAAATATATTAAAAAACGTTCAACATCTCTATCAATTAGAGAAATGCAAGTCAAAACTACTCTAAGATTTCATCTCACTCCAGTCAGAATGGCAGTTATCAAGATTATAAGCAACAATAAGTGTTGGCAAGGATGTGAGGGAAAAGGCACACTCATACATTGCTGGTGGCACTGAAAATGGGTACAACCACTCTGGAAAGCAGTATGGAGATCCCTTGGAAAAATGGGAATGGAACTGCTATTTGACCCAGCTATCCCACTGCTTGGTCTATACGCAAAGGACTTTAAAATAGCATACTACAGGGACACAGCCACATCAATGTTCACAGCAGCACAATTCACAATAGCCAAACTGTGGAACCAACCTAAATGCCCTTCAATAAATGAACAGATAAAGAAACTGTGGTATATAACTCAGCAATAAAAGAGAATAAAATTATGGCATTTGCAAGTTAATGGATGCAGTTAGAGAGTATCATGCTAAACAAAATAAGCCAATCCCCCAAAACCAAAAGCCAAATGTTTTCTTTGATAAGTGGATGCTAATCCATAATGGGGGGGTGGGGCATGGGATGAGTGGAAGAACTCTGGATTGGCCAAAGGAGAGGGAGGTAAGGGGATGGGTCATTGTGATGGAAAAGATGGTGGAATGAGATGGACATCATTATCCTAGGGGTATGTATGATTGAATGAATGGTGTGACCCTACTTTATATACAACCACAGAAGTGAAACATTGTGCTCCATTTGTGTACAATGAATCAAAGAGCATTCTGCTGTCATGTGTAACTGATTAGAACAAATAAATTTTAAAAATTTTTAAAAAGACTATATTGGCTCAGTAGACAAGTCTGCCAAACACATTCACTATGAAAAACACATAATTATGAACTAATTTGTGTAAATCTGCTCTACAGCTGTCTTTCCCCACACAACTCAGCCTCATGGGAAGAGCAATTAGAAGTATCAAGAATGCTTAATTAAGAAAGACATGGAGGTAAGGGTAAAGAATTTTGCCTAAAATACAAAACAATGTTGATAGTACAGATCTAAATAATCCGAGAGGACAAAGAATCATATGTCCATCCTGGAACAAAGAGAAAGAGGGAGAATCCTAGGAGGCTCTTGATATTGAGTCTTTCATCCACACTTCAATATTTGCTAACCTGCCTCAATGTCCATAATATTGCTGAGGTGTAAATGAAAAAAAAATAAGTGCACACACTGCGAAGATGGTATACAAAGAACAAGTCACTTGGCAATTGAGTAAACCTAGGTGACAACACAATTCACATCAAAATTAGCAGACGCTAGAAGAGAAAAAACAGAGGCTTGGGATTTTTTCTTAGGACACAGATAATCAAACTAAGGTTATTAATAGATATTTTCTGAGAAAAATAAATAAATTTGGAATGCAATGAAACAAAGTCAGGCAAGTCTCTTTCTTAGAGAACTTCTTAAAGCCGATAATATGCTAATGTGCACTGTGCACCTAAAAAGAAGAGGCCACATTTGCATGATTCACTTAGATCAGCAGCCATTTCAAAATATTGAAGTACATGAAAAAGGGAATTAATTTAAAAAAGAGCTACTTTGGAAGGTACAACATTAACATAAATAACTGCATACAAAACTTTCTAGGAGCCTCCTATCCCTCTAAAGTTTGATACTTTATCTTCACAACAACTCTATGACACAGGGCAATTATGATTCTTTTTTTTACTTGAAGGAAAATGAAATATAGAAATATTAATCAAATTGCCAAAGGTCACATGGTTGAAAATAGTCAAGCCAGTATTCAGACTCCGACAGTCTGGCTCCTGCAGCCAAGTTCTTAATCATTGCACAATGTCATTCACTTAATGAAGTCCTTACCATGCATTCCAAAATAAATTGTTAGTTGGATATTAAGCAAGAATGAAAAATAAGCATGATAATTAATTTAAATAGAAGGCAAAATTTATTAATTTACAAAACTCTTCAAGGAAATTGGAGATGGGAGAAGGTAGTAAAAATTGGAATTATAATTATGAAGTATACAGTTATGATAATGCACAGTTCCATAATTAACTAAAATTAAGAATCATTTCAAGCAAAAGGTAGGTATCTCAATTTCCTAATCCACATGTAGGAAAACAATATGGCAAACACTTTGAAAATGTTCTCACCGTGATTCTCTTCATATCTAGCTGGCGCAGCTGCATCATATTCTGAAGGACAGTGTGTTTGTACCATGACTCTTGAGCTATTGGGTTGCCATCAAAAGTGATGTCTGATAGGGAAGTAGAGTCAGCAAGACAGGAAACACTGTCAAAACTACAGGAGAGACAAACCGCTGGATTATTCTGAGGCCTTCAAATAATGCTTTTGTAATAGACTTTTAAAAGAACAACTTTAGAATTATAGAAAAATTGAGAACATAGTATAAAGAGTTCCCAAATACTTAACACTCAGTTTTCTCTTTATTAACATCTTGTATTAGTACAGTACACTTGTTACAATTAATGAGCCAATATCAATACAGTTGTACTAACTAAAGTCCAAATTTCATCCAGATTTCCTTAGTTTTTACTTAGTATTCTTTCTCTCTCCCAGGAGCCCATCCAGGATACATTATATTTAGTTGTCATGTTTCTTTAAGCTCCCCTTGATTATGACAGTTCTCAGACTTTTTAAAATATTTTCAATAGCCCTGACAATTTTAAGAATACTTGTCAGCTATTTTGTAGGATGCCTTCTATTAGGATTTGTTGGATATCTTTCTCATGACTACACTAGGGTTAAGGAACCTATGCTAACATGACTTACCACTGTTGATAATTTGCCTTGATCATCTGGCTCAGGCCGTGTTTTTCAGTTTTCCCCAATGTAAAGTTAGTATTCCTTTCCCTTTTTTCATACTGAACACTTTGAAAGGAAGTCACTATATGATGTGCAGTCCACACTTAGGAAAGAGTTAAGTATTTCCCCCTCCTTGAGGTTGTAGTATCTAGTAATAATTTAGAATTTTTCTTTTTTGTATTTGGGGGTGCATTTATTTATTTCTATCAGTTTAGACTTATGCATATTTATTTTATGCTTTGGGTTACTTATCAATACCACTTTACTTATTTTCTTGTTCTAATTGTTTCAGCTTCGGCCATTTTGGAAATTCTTTCAATTGGCTCCTATATGTTCCTTGACCATCAATATGGATTATTATTACTAGTAGTAGTACTTCCTTAATTTCTAGTTCTACAATGTTTTTTAGATTGAAATATTTCCTGCCTTGTTCCTAGACTCTACCATTTCTCCAAGGAACTATGGCTCTTTTTATTGGAGAAGATATTAGAAACAAAGATCTAGGGGCTCCAGATATACTTTTTGCTAACCTAGTATCATTTCTTTTAGGCCCTCTCAGCTGAGAGAAAAAAATTACACACACACACACACACACACACACATAATATATATTATATAATATATATATCATATGTATATTTATTTATATATATATAAATATCTTAACATTTCTCTTTATAACCATCTGTATCTATATTAGGCTAATTCATGACAATTCATAGTGATGTCTCCAAATCTAAATTATTACCGAATGAATCATTTTAGCCTACTGCCCTTGCTTGTCTGAAAATTCCTACTGCAACAAGGAGAAATCTGGTTTCTACTATCTGCTACCTATTTACTTAATTATTCAATTCCAGTATATCTGAATAGAGGTATCAGAATTTATAAGCTGTACTCACAATAGAAAATAATTTTATCAACTTAAATACAATGATTAAGTATAATTCCTTTTGCATTGAGTCTCAAAGATTCACTTCCAATGTTATATAAGCCAGTGCCTCTGTCCCCCACCCCTTCAGGGAGATTTATTCATATATTTAAAAATCTACAGTTAGATTTTCTTGCTACAATTTGCATTCCTTTCATGGATCTTCCAAGCTCCTAAATAATAAAAATTTTTAAAATTTGCACACATTGAGGATTTATCACTGTAATATTTATTCTACAGGTTTTGACAAATGCATAATGTCATATATCTACCATTAAAATATCATATAGGATAGTCTTCATGCCCCGCCCCCCAAATGGTTTATCCATTCAATTCTCCTCCTATTCACTCCAATTCCTGGAAATCCCTGATCTTTTTTACTGTCTCTATAATTTTGAAATTTAAGAAATGTCAAATAATTGGAAGTAAATACTACTAGAATTTAGCCTTTTCATATTGACTTCTTTCATGTAGTTATATGCATTTAATGTGCACTCATCCATGTCTTTTCATGGCTTTATAGCTAATGTTTTTATTAATGAGAAATATTGCATTGTATGAATGTAGCCCAGTTTCTTATTCACTTATCAAGAGCATCTTGGTTGATTTCATTTTTTGGTGAAAATGAATAAAATTGCTATAAGTATTTGTCAGCAGCTTTTTAAATGGACATGTTTTAATTTAAATTGAGTAAACACCTATGAGTACAATTGCTGGATCATATAGTAAGATGGTTTATTTTAGCTGTGTAAGAAACTATCAAAACTATCAAATTGTCTTCCAAAATGGCTATAATATCCTGCATTCTTATAAGCGTCCTATTTTCACCAGCATATGATATTTGTCAGTGTGTTTGGATGTTCTTCCAATAGGTGTGTAGTAGTATCTCATTTTAATATGCAATTCCCTAACAATGAAGGATATTGAGCTATTTCATATGTATAATGTGCCATCTGTATGTGGTTTCAGCTCTTTTGCCCATTTTTAATTGGATTCTTTGTTTTATATTATTGGTTCTTTTAGTTTTATATAACAGTAGAATCTATTTTGACATAATTATAAAAGCATGGAATACACCTTGTTCTAATTCAGTCCCCAATACCTCTTCTTCCCCTTCCCTCTCACAACTCCTGTTACCTTGCCTCTAATGATCTTTCTGTCATTTACCCATAGTTTTTATTAATTAATTTCTTATGGGTGTACATGATGGTGAGACTCAATGTGTTATATTCATGTGTATATATATTTATGTCAGATTCATTTAACTGTCTTTCCTCTTCCCATTGCCCCTCCTTTATCTTCATTTCCCTTTGTCTAATCTACTGAACTTTTTTTTAATATGGCCCCCTCCTCTTAATAGTAGCTTCTACATATCAGTGAAAATATTCAACCATTGGATGGGGAGATTGGCTTATTTCACTTAGCATGACAGTTACCAGATCCATTCATTTATCAGCAAATGTCATAAAGTCATTCTTCTTTACGGCTGAATAATATTCCATTCTGTATATATACCACTTTTTTCTTATCCATTTATCTGTTGAAGGGCACCTACCTTGGCTCCATAGCCTGCCTAGCTATTATGGATTGTGCTGCTGTATGACTGTAGCATACTGATTTTAAATCTTTTGACTATATACTAAGGAGTGGGATAACTGAATCAAATGGTGATTCCATTCCTAGTGTTCCATACTGCTTTCCAGAGAGGTTGCACCAATTTGCAGTCCCACCAACAATGTAGGAATATACTCTTTTCCCACCATCCTCATTAACATTTATTGTTATTTGTACTCTTGATAATTGTCATTCTGGATGGAGTGAGAAGAAATCTTGGTGTAGTTTTTTTTTTTAACCTCCTCAAAAGTTATTTCTTCAAAATTGATAACAATACCTGATAACCAGATCCATGGTAATAATACATTTTATATATGAAAGACTTAACTAAAACAATTCCAGAGTGCTACTAGCAGAGGTCACACAGAGGTGAAATGTAGTACTTCCAATGCTGTCTTCTGTGAGATCAGTCAAGTTTTCAAAGCATGAGAACTCAAATAGGTGCCATGAATGTTGGCAGATTACCAGTGCCTAATGTATTCATGAGAGGCCTGTGAGAGAATACTCAGTGATTAAGTGACCTACATACACCTTATGGCTTTTCCGTAAGGAAAAATGCATTTTAAAAGTCTTTTAGGTATTTTCTACAGTATCTGCATTATCTGTAGGAAGCTCTGACTTAGTTGTATATAGTTTGATATATATGTCTACCATTACATCCAGATCATGTTTTATATCAAAATTTATGTTAAGCAAAGTCAAGTTACTTGACCTTTGATCTGTCAAAGTGTTCCTCAAGTATGTTTTGAGACGCTTTCGTCCATTTTCATAGTGTTCATTCTCAAACTTTGTCACAGGAGAATATACAGGACCTTCAGCAAGGCATATAATTTAGGAAAAAACTTGATATCAGGCAGATGGAGGGCTTCATAAATGATGGATGGAAGCTCTATATCCTTCCCTTGTGTTTCCATTTGATTCTCCAATAGTGAAGCTTGACTGAAAGCATGTCGCAATTAGGCAAGTCACTTCTGTTCATGTCAGCATGGTGCTCCTCTGATGTACTGACTTTGAGCTGTCCCATGGCTAAGGGTACCAGGGATAAGAATTTAAGAGCTTTGAGGAACTGTTCTGAAAGTATCTTTAAGTTTCTGAATGATGTGCTCCATTGTTGGAACACTTAGGGTTTCTTTACAGAAACTTTCAGAGATTAGTTGAGATTCTAGGTTACCCTGCTGAGCCCTATGCAATTTCCCAGGGAGTTTAATCTGAATATCAAGTTTGGTTGCCAAATTTGTTGCTTCCTCAAACCAAAACTCATTATAAACTTCAATATTTTCCATTAGTTCACTGAATGAATATAGCACTGTGGTCAAGATACAGTGGCAAAGAAGATATCAAAAATTTATCCCTAGAGATTTTTTTCTAAAGGCTCTTGTAAAACATAAGACATTTTTATGAACAACAGTGGTAGCAATGCAATCAAATCTGTTACTGCAGTACAGAGTACAAATGCTTGACAAGTTATACCATCTAATATTTGTGTCACTATTTATACAATCTAAAACAAGTGCTTGCAGGAGATCCACCAAAATTTTGAAAGCATCATGCCTGCCTGTCCATTGAAAACGTCAAATTTCCTTCAGTTCTTTACCCCTTTCTTCACTGTTCTGAAAAAGAACAGAAATTACATTGTCAAGTTCTAATAGCAATTGTGGTGATGGATGGAAAAAAGAACAAACTTCCTCAATAGTTCCTAATGTAATAGGCACCCCCATTGCAGACACTGATTTTGTCAACCACATGATTAAAGCATAGGAAGAGCAGAGTGTGTGAATAGCTTGAGGATATTTTTATAAAAGTCTAGAAGCAACAACTTTCATTTTGGAAGAGAATCCACTAGGCACAATGTAAACCTGGCCATGATAATACTCCATATTTAGTCCCCACGTCTCAGTTATTGTATGAAATTTCACAGCCAAAATTTCTG